AAATCACACATTGATGGTGAAAGACTTCAATACCCTACTCTCACCAATGAACAAGTTATCCAGGCAAAACTAAACAGAGAAATACTGGAGCTAACAGGTGTTATAAACCAAATGGACCAACAGACATCTACAGAACATTTCACCAAATCACACAAAGATACCTTCTCAGTGTCTCACAGAACTTTCTCCAAATTGACCACATAACAAGTCCAAATTGACACAAAACAAGTCTCAACAGATACAAGAAAACTGAAATGATGCCCTGCATCCTATCAGACCACCACTGATTAAATGATTTCAACAACAACAGAAACAACAGAAAGTCTACAAACTCATGGAAACTGAACAACTCTCTACTGAATGAAAACATGGTCAAGACAAATGAAGAAATTAAAGACTTCTTAGAATTCAATGAAAATGATTACATAATATACCCAAACTTATGAGTCACCATATCTATTCAATATAGTACTTGAAATTCTAGCTAGATCAATAAGACAACAAAAGGAGATCAAGGTAATATAAATTGGAAAGGAAGAAGAAGTATCATTATTTGCAGATGATATGATAGCATACATAAGTGACCCCAAAAATTCTACCAGGGAACTCCTACAGCTGATAAACACCTTTAGTCAAGTGGCTGGATATAAGGCTAACTAAAAAAAAAAAAATCAGTAGCCCTCTTATACACAAATTACAAATAGACTGAGAAAGAAATCAGGAAAACAACACCCTTCACAATAGCCACAAATAATATAAAATATCTCTGTGTAACTAGCCAAACAAATGAAAAACTTGTATGACAAAAATGTCAAGGATTTGAAGAAAGAAATTGAAGAAGATATCAGAAGTTGGAAAGATCTCCCATGCTCATGGATTGGTAGGGTTAACATAAAAATGGCCATCTACCAAATGCAAACTACAGATTTAATGCAATCCCCATTAAAATTCCAACACAATATTTTTAGACCTTGAAAGGACAAAATGCAACTGTATATGAAAAAAAAAAACCAGGATAGCCAAAATTAAATAAATACATAAAAAATCCTGAACAATAGTAGAACTTCCAGCAGTATCATCATCCCTGATTTCAAGCTGTGCTGTAGAGCTATAGTTTTAAAAACCATGTGGTATTGGCATAAACACAGACGCGTTGATCAATTGAATCATATCGAAGACCCAGACAAAAATCCACACACCTACAGACACCTGATTTTTGATAAATAAACCAGAAATATACAATGGAAAAAAGAAATTATCTCCAACAAATGGTGCTGTTCTAACTGATGTCTGCATGTAAAAGATTGCAAATAGATCCATATCTATCACTCTGACCAAAAGTCAGGTCCAAGTGGATCAAAGACCTCAACATAAAACCAGATACACTGAACCTGATAGAAGAGAAGTCCCTCAATCGAAGAATGGATAAAAAAAAAATGTGGTACATTTACACAATGGAATATTACTCAGCTGTTAAAAAAGTGACATCATGAAATTTGCAGGCAAATGGATGGAACTAGAAAAAGTATCCTAAGAGAGGTAAACCAGACCCAGAAAGACAAACATGATACGTACTCACTCATAAGTGGATATTGGCTATTAAGTAAGTGATAACCGTGCTACAATCCAGAGACCCAGAGAGGCTAAGTAATAAGGAGGGCTCAAGCAGGGACACATAGATCTACCTGGGAGGAGGAAATAAAATATATTTTGTGGATGGACCAATGGACCACGTAGGTGGGGATGGGAGCAGATGCAGAGACCCATAGCCAAACATTAGGTGGAGAGAGAGCCTAAGTTGGAGGTCTCCATTGGGTCCCTCCCGAAGCTTGGAGAATCCCATGTAAGAGGGGGAGGAGAAATTGTGGGAGCCAGAGGGCTCAAGGACACCCAGAGAGCAAGGCCTGTGGAGTCCACTCAGCAAGGCTCTTGGGGGCTCCCAATCAGGGAGCCTGCATGGGTCTGTGCTAGGTCCTCTGCATATACGTTATGTTTGTCACTTGGTGTTTTGGGGGAACTCCTGACAGTGGGAATAGAGGTGTCTCCGACTCTTTTCGCTGCTTTGAGGACCCTTTTCCCCTTTCTGGGTTGCCCCGTCCAGCCTTGATGTGAGGCTTTGTGCCTGGTCTTATTGTATCTTGTTGAGCTGTGTTCAGTTGATATCCCTGGGAAGCCTGCTCTTTTCTGGGGGAAGGATCGGAGGACGGGGCATGAGTGGATCTGGGAGAGAGAGGAGGTGGGGTGAACTGGGAGGCATGGAGGGAGGGGAAGCTGCAGTTGGGGTGTATTGTATGAGAGAATAATAAATAAAAATTTAAAAACAAACAAGGCATCGGGAGGGAGATGTGGGGGACCTGGGAGGAGTTGAAGGGGGCAGTAAGGATGAGTACGATCAAAACGCACTGGACACATGAACGGAATTCTCAGCAGATTTAAAATATTTTTTAAAAAGATCTCTCGAGGGCCTGGATAGATGGTTCAGCGGTTAAGAGCACTGGCTGCTCTTCCAGAGGATCCAGGTTCAATTCCCAGCACCCACACAGTAGCTCAAAACTGTCTGTAACTCCAGTTCCAGGGAATGGGGCCTCTTCTTCTATCTCCCATGGGCACCTACATGCTGCATATACAGACAAACTGGCAAAACACTCATACACATTAAAAACAAACCTTTGAAAAGGAATACGATATTGCTAGAATTAAAGCAACTGCGGTATTATGTCGCTCAGTGGAAGTTCTTGCCTGTTATTCATGAAGCCCTGGATTTGATCCAAAACACCTCATCAAACAAGTGGTGGAGGTGGAGGCTGGAGGGTCTGAGAGTCAAGGCCATCGGCTGTGTAGGGAGTTCAACACTATGTGGGCTACCTGAAATCTTGTCTAAAAAAAATGGTTTGTATCTAAATGTGGTGGCCCAAACCTGTGGTCCCAGCCCTTGGAAGACTGAGGCTGGAGGATTGCCATGAATTAGGGGTCAGTCTGGCCTATGGCATGAGATCTTATCTCAAGAAACAAACAAACAAACAAACAAACAAACAAACAAACAAACAAAAAGCGGCCGAGGAGACCACCCAGTAGGTAAAAGCACTTGCTGCCGAGCCTGATGACCGCAGGCTAGTCTCTGAGACCCACGTGGTGGCCAGAGAGAACCGACTCCCGCAGGTCGTCCTCTGACCTCCACTCAAGTGTGCACATTCACACATACACACACACACACACACACACACACACACACACACACACACACACACACACAAAACACCAAGTTAAATACTTAAAATGATAAAGTAATAAGTAAGTAAAATATAATATAATACAAATTTTAAAAATAAAACATTTAACAACTGCAAGCTGAATTTAAGAGACCATATAAGTCAGAAAAAATGCCAAAGAGAAATGGCTTGCTGATTTTGTAGCTTTAGTATATGAAATAGAAATTCCCAGAATCACATTAAACCTCAATGTGGGTTTTGTTGTTTGGCTTTTTTCCCCCATGCAGTAAAGCCCACCCCAGGCTCTAACACCTCTATTGGAATCTGCACACCTTCATGATTGTCATTTCCTGTGAAGCAGGTTTGTGTCTGGCACTAACTAGGCTCATAGATGCTGGGCTCCTGCCTCCCTGTGGAGATAGAGACCTGGAGAGTTGGTGTGAGATCGGGACAGAGAAGATCAGGACAGAGAAGGTGAGAGAGGCTGCCAGAAGGCCAGGATCAGACGGGACGGGTGGTGCTCTGCTTGCCATCCAGTGTCCCACTTCCCAAAGCGCTAGGCGCCACCCACCTCTCGCCCTGGCTCTTGGCCTCTTTTCCATGAACAGGTTGCCCTGCCCAGCTGTGTCATCCATGTCCGGCTGTGCCAGCTGGACCAGGGCACCTGGTGGGGGCAGCCTGCTTCTGCGCCTCCTGCTGACCCTTGGCCTGGGACCCAGTGTGGGGGGTGGGAATGGGTCCCGGGTTTCTACTGGAAATGGCCTGGTCTCTCCTACCCAAATGACAGGGAGAGGATACAGCGACAGAAAGGGACAGGGAATCAATATTCAGAGAGAGAGAGATGAGAGGCAGAGAGACAGAGAGAGCTAGAAAAGAAAGACAGACAGGAAAAGAGAGACACAGAGACATAAAGAGAAAAGGAGAGACAGTACAGAGACCAAGAGGGTCAGTGACAGAGAGATCAGGATGCACAGGAAGTGGGGACAGAGAGACGGGGAAAGACAGGCCGACAGACTCATTGTCAAACGATGACAGACTCTGAAAGGTCCCGTGAGGACTGACAGCTAGATCACAAGGTAGAAGGATTTTAGAAACAGACAAGATGAAGTGGTGAGAAAAGAGACAGAGATGGAATGGGTGAGTGAATAGGACATGGGAAAAATTAGAAATCCTTGATCAAGAAGCGCACCTCTGGGCTGGTGAGAAGCCAGATGTGAGGAGGGCCTGGCCGGCCCTGAGGACCCCTCCCCATCCTTGGGCCAGGGAGGGAGGGAGTGTCACTAGGCACTGGGTGGGGGGTGTTCTGGGGGTGGAGGGGAGGGGAGACAGGAAGAGTGAGTGCTAGGGCCCAGACTGACAGGAACCTCACTGCCAGGGAATGTGCCCCGGGGACCAGTGGGTGGTTATATCACCAGGTGCCAGAGCAGAGGAGGAGGTGCTGGAAAGCCCAGGCCAGCTTGAGAAGTCTGCAGCTATATTGGGAGCCAGACCCCACCACCCACTGCCCAGGGGACCAGGGACAGTGGCAGGTGAGGCCTGGGGAGGACCTCAGAAGGGGAGAGGGCAGAGGGGGCCAGGGCTGGCTCTGTCTCATCTTGGATTCACTCTGCCTCTCCTATATCCACACTCACAGGGACTGGAAGATGCTTGCAGCCCTCCCTCCATGCTGGTCCCTGGGTGCTAAGTGGGGCTGTCATCCCCTCCCCATGATATATTTCTTCTAGGGAAGCTGGGCAGAGAGGGTGGGGAGAGTGGGTCAAGACTCCCAGAACCACCGAGGCCTCTGCAGAACCATCCAGCCCCGGCCTCTGTTTCTTACCAGGTGCAGCGGTCATGGCGAGGGCAGGATATCCATGGAAGTGGACGATGGCTACCCTGATGGCGACCCTGGTTCTGGGGGTCTCAGGTAACCAGAATCCCTAAGTGTGTGGGGGACTGCCTCTGTGGACCACTGGGTGTATCTCTGGGACCAGGTGAATGTGTGTTTGTGTCTGTGTGGTTACACAATTGAATGTGGGCCCCATGGCTGCATATGTACTAGAGAGGAGGGAGTGACTTTTATTTTATTTTATTTTATTTTATTTTATTTTATTTTATTTTATTTATTTTTAAGGCAGAGTCTCACTGTGTAGCCCAGGCTGGTCTAGAATTCACTATCTAGAACAGGCTGGCCTTGAACTTGTGGCCAGTCCTCTTATACCTACCTCCTGAGGGCTTGGATTGCTGTTGTGTGCCTTCAGTTTTTGCTATTGTTGGTTTGTTTCAGTTTTTTTAATTTATTTTATTTGTATGAATTTTGCCTAAAGCATGTCTGGTGCTCAAGGAGACCAGAATAGGCTTCAGATCTCCTGGAACTAGAGCTGCAGGTGGTTGTGAGCTGTCATGGGGATACTGGAATCACACCCAGGTCCACTGCAAGAGTAGCCAGTGCTCTTAACTGCTGAGCCTTCTTTTCAGACCCCTTATTTTTAGTTTTTGAGACATAATCTCACTTTGTAGCCTAGGCTAGCCTAGAACCTGCTCTATAACCCACGCTCTCCTGGAACTCACTCTGCAGCCCTGTCTAGCTTTGAACTCTGGTCAATCCTCCTGCTTCAGCTTCCCAAGTTCTGGGATTACAGGTGTGAGCAACTGTGACTGGCTTGTGTGTGGCCCCCTCCCTTGTCAAGCGACTGTGCGTGGCAGATGCTACCGACCCTGGGAGACTGTGCAGCTGGGTGTCCATGCTCGGCAGATCGTGTCTGGCGCTGCAGCCGAGTGAGTGCGCATTCCAGGCTGGTGCGGATGCTGCTGTGCATTCGGCCTGGTGTGTCTCCTCTGCACCCCAGTCTGGAATGCAGTGCAGCGCCGCTCACCGATGTGAAAATATATGACCCTTGTGTTTGCAGGTAGCCCCTTTCACGGGTGAGGTTGTGTCTGGGACAGTATTTGTGATCCTGTGACAGGTGGAACTTTACATTTCGGGGTCTGTAAGTGCAGCTGAATATGTGCTCAGGTAGCTGTATCTAGGGTTCCTGAACCCGCCTCGAGGAACTGAGTGAGAAGTCACTATAGAAGGTAGCTGCTGGGAAGATTCTCTTGCACTGTGCCAAGCTGGGAATCAATATAAATGTCCTTTAAGTGTGACATGTCAGCATTCCCGTGTGCAGAAGTGTGTATGGTATTCCCATCCACATATACATGCCTGTCACTCCGATGCTGGTCAGGTGTTTGAGCTCCTGAGGGATGACCACCTGACCCTCATGGGAGCAGGTGCATTTGGACATAATACTTGTGTTCCTTGGGATGTGACTATGGGTGCATAGAGCACTGAGGCCTCCCTTCTCTGGGTCATTAGCAGGAACATGACCAGTGACTGGCATGTGAGGGGTGGGGGGTGACAGAATGCATACAGGTCTGTGTGGGAATTCAGAGAGTGAGCCTTGCTGTACCCTTCCAGAGTCTCCTTTTTCCATCCTCCTCCCCAAACTCCACCCAAGAGCTCTGACTCCCCCACTCTTCTCAACCAAGTTCTCACCCCCAGAGCCTACCCCTTTGCACTAGGCTCCACCTTGCTGGAGGTGGCTCCAGAGTTCAGCTCCACCTCCCCTTCCAAAGTCAGGGTTCTTTGTGAAACTGATCACCCCCAAGTGACTTTGACCTCGCCTCTCCCTAGTCCCCAGGCTCCCGGGTCTTAAACTTGCTGTCCTGGTGCCTCAGCCTCCTGAATAGGTGGATGACAGGCTTGTGACACTGGGCTGGGCTTGGCTCCACTTCTGGAAATAGGTCCCAAACCTCAAGCCTGCTCTGCCATTAAGGACTCTTGTGCCCCAGGGTACCCTCCTGCTCCCCGGATATCACCAACCGAGCTCCAAGCAATGTCAGGAATCCTTGAGGCTCACAAAGTCCTGGGAGCCCGCTGGAGCTGGCTATCTGTCCTAAACCCCAAGCCCCTGGCTGAGCTGCGGTTCGCTTGTTCTACAAGCTCCTTCCCTGCAGCCTTGGCCCTGCGCACACAGCTCTGGACCTGCCCCTGCAGAGAGAGCCCCACCTGACTGACCTGGCCCCACCTCTATAGTCTCCGCCCTACTTCTATAGCCTTGACCCCCACCTTGAAGTCCTAGCCTTACCCTACAGCTCTGTGGTCTACATTCTAGAACTCAGTCCTTCAGCCCTCACCCAGTCCTATAAGCCCTGGCCTCACCTCCACAGTCCTGGCTCCAATTTCTTATCTTAGAGCCTGGGGCGTGGGGTGAGACAATTTGGTTGGTTCCAGTTCCTGACTCTAAGAGTAGCCCTGCTTCTAGGCCCCTTCCCCGAGTCCAAGCCCCACCCCAAGCCCGTTCTCCACCCATTCTCTATTCGCAGAGCCTGTTCTAGCTGACAATTTCTCCTCGTGTGACAACTCTGGCAACCGGCCCTCTGGGACTAACAGAGACCTCAGCAAGGAGTCCGAGTCAGGGGAGGACACGCGGTCAGATAGCAGCTCTCGCATTGTGAATGGGTCAGACTGTGAAAAGGATGCGGAGCCATGGCAGGGGGCTCTGCTGCTGGGACCCAACAAGCTGTACTGTGGGGCGGTGCTGATCAACCCACAGTGGCTTCTCACAGCAGCGCACTGTAGGAAGCCGTGAGTAGAGCTGGAGAGGAGGGCATGAGAGAGAGCTGGAGAGCGGACTGGGAAGGAAGGAAGGAAGATTGCATAAGTTCACGGATGGAAAGATGGAAGAAGGAAGATGAGTAGAAGGAAGGATGGGTGGTCGGTGGGTGAATGGATGGACTGACGTACGGATGGATTCGTGGATGGATGGGAGTTTGGAAAAAGTTTGGAAGGATGGAAGAACAGATGGAGACAACAGTATGAGGACCAGGTTAACACTAGTGGAGGGATGATCTGGGCATGGAGGTAGGGATAGGTGGAATTGCATGTTTAAAGGGGTAGAGATAGCTAAAGAAAGAGACTGCAATAGAGGTAGGAAAGAGGTAAGGAGGGAAACAGAAATGATAAAGATTATATAGACATAGGCATGTGGAGTGGTTTGGACTGGAGGTGGGGTTGGGACCTATGAAGACAAAGACGAGGTTGGGAAGGGGCTGGGTTGCTGGAGGTTGCTGGAGGGTACACACTCAGGTCGCAGTTAATGTGGAAATGGAATGCAGATAGGCTGGGAGCTGTGATGGGGATGCACACAGGGTAAGATTGATAGAGTTAGGGGTAGAGCTAAGGATGATGATGGTGTGGAACTGGGTTCAGAATGGGTGGAGTTGGGGTTAAGGCTGGGATAGAGCTGGGTTAAGGACAGGGTTGAGTTGTGGATGAGGATGGGAGGGAGGGAGGTTGGGGATGGGATGAAGTTGGATTGAAGATGGATTAGAGCAGGCATTGAGACTGCCTTGGACAGCTGGTCAGAGTTTGGGGCCAGCACTGATCATTGCCATGTTCCTCAGAGTGTTCAGAATCCGTCTGGGCCACCATTCCATGTCGCCTGTCTACGAGTCTGGGCAGCAGATGTTCCAGGGGATTAAATCCATCCCCCACCCTGGTTACTCCCATCCTGGCCACTCCAATGACCTCATGCTCATCAAAATGAACAGAAAAATCCGTAACTCTCACTCAGTGAAGCCCATCAAAATTGCCTCTGAGTGTCCCGCCCAGGGGACCAGGTGCACAGTGTCTGGCTGGGGGACAACAAGCAGCAGCCACAGTGAGTACACTGCTTCCTCCTAACTCCTGCTCTTCCAGTCAACTCTTGCCACGTACCCCAGGCTATCCCAGAACTGTGCATCTTCCTGTAACAGCTTCCCTAGGATTTGGGTAGCAAGCTTGTACCACCATGCCCGGCTGGGCTCTCTCTCACCCTCACGACACTCTTGTTTGACAGATAACTTCCCCAAAGTCCTCCAGTGCCTGAATGTCACTGTGCTGAGTGAGGAGAGGTGTAAAAACTCCTACCCGGGACAGATAGACAAGACCATGTTCTGTGCTGGTGATGAAGAGGGCAGGGACTCCTGTCAGGTAAGGACTGGATGCCGCTCCATTTATCCAGAAAAATGGCTGAGTTCTGTTTACATTTTGTATTTATGTGTATGCACATGTGTCATAGAGTGTATGGAGCGCAGAGGACAACATGTGGAAGTCAGTTCTCTTCTTCCACTATGTGGGTCCCAGGGATTGAAATGAGGTCGTTGGGCCTGACAGCTAGCACCGTTACCACTGGGCCGCCTCACCAGCCCATCAAGTGCCATACAGATTACCTGGCCTTAAGTGCCAGGACCCGAAGCTTGAACCTCTGTATTCGCTTTCCAGTTTTCATACAGGAAAATTTTTAAAAATGAAAGGAAGCAGGGCATGACTTGTCATCTCAGTGGGAGGCTGAGTCAGGAAGAATGAAAGCCCAAGAGCCAGCCTAGGTTACAGAGTTAGTCCAAGGTTGACTGAGCAACGTAGTGAGACCCTATCTCAAAATAAAAAGTAAAAATGAACCTAGGGGTGTGGTTCAGTGGTAGAGTGCTTGTATAGCATGCTACAGGCTTGAGTTCTGTCTCCTGCCTCATGAAACAGTAAATAAATAATCAAGGAGGTGGAATTAACATTAATAGTATATTGTATTTAATTAACATATGTGATCTCTCTATGTTCTCAAGTGACATTTTTCAGAATTTAGTTACTATATAACAATTATAAATACACCACTTACACACACACACACACACACACACACACACACACACACACCACATCACACAATGCCTTTAACCCTAAAAATCCATTTCGGTTTGCTAGAGATACTCCAACTACCATATCACAATTCAGGTCTGGAAGGAGAGATCAAGGCTGTTCCTTGTGGTCAAATAGGTTGTGCCCCCTTTACATAATGGCTGTCATAGTTCTGTCTTCAAGCATGTGATGGATAAACATCTCATTGTAACAGAATTCATTAGACAGTAGTTTTCTAACAGATGCTAGTAAAATGTCATGAGGAAAGAAAAGAGAAAACTTGTTTTAAGTATTTTAAACCGTGTCTAGGCAAGCCTTCATTGTTGGGAGTGCTGAAGAAGCAGAAATAAACCACAGACTCTTTGGTCAGGGCTAGAGAGATTGCTTGGCCATTAAGAGTACTGGTGGCTCTTTCAGATGTCCCAAGTTCTGTTCCCAGCAGCCACATCTGTAACTCCAGCTCCAGGGGATCTAACACCTTCTTCTCGGTACCCGCAGTCACATGCATATACCCACACATAAATTCACACATATACTTGCAATTTAACACAGTGGTTCTCAGCCTGTGAGTTGTGACCCTTTGGGATCAAAGGACCCTTTCACGGGGGTCACCCAAGACCATCCTGCATATCAGATATTTACATTACAATTTATAACAGTAGTAAAATTAGAGTTATGAAATAGCAACAAAAATAATTTTATGGTTGGGGGTCAGCACATTATTAAGTGTCCAGAATTGTCAAGGTTGAGAATCAGTGATTTTACATAATAAAAATAAATCTTTTTAAAAATGTACAGTAGTAACCTAAAAAACTCCTTTGATCAAGAAACTGTACAAGTAGTGCTATTTCAGAAAGTTCTAAGGAGTCACTAGAAAAGACGATGCAAGGACCAGTCTTCATGGTGCTTGTGAGGAGGACTTCCTTAGATAGGTTGTACATAGCAGAGACTATAAAACACCCTGCAGCCAGACTCATGCAGGCTAAGGGCACAGCGAAGTCCTGCGCAAAGGCAGCAAGGGAGACATTTGGCTGATTCAAAGAATGGAAAGGAATCACTATTTCTCGGCCACAGCTGTGTTGGGGGAAGCAGTTCATGAGCTGAGGCAGTGACTGGTGGATCCCCAAGGCTTGCTGGATCAGTAAGCTCCAGGCCAATGCAAAACTGTCCCAAAAAAACAAGATGAACAGCGCCTGAGGAATGATGACCGAGGTCGTCTTCTGACCTCCACTTGTACATGCACACACATGTGCACACACACATACACAACCACAACAGTGGCACTGAGCAACTACAGGATTGACCCTACTAATAAAACCACTGTGATGGCTGATTAAGGGCTGCCTCTGTTTCAGGTTATTTACAGGCGTCCACTCATTAGCTCAGGCAGCAGTTATTGTGAGCCTTAGTTTACAGGCTCGGAGAAGTTGACTAACAGACTCTCAGAACTCAGTGCAAAGATTTAAAGAAAAATCATTGAGCCACCATCTGGGCCTGGTAGCATAGGACTATCATCCCAGTTGTTCAGAAGGCTGAGGCAGGAGGATCACAAGTTCTAGCTCAACCTGACCCTGTCTCAAAATAAACAACAAAAATAAACAGAGGGAGGAGAAGAAACAAGGAGGGCAGGGGAGAGGAGAGACAGGGAAAGCAGGAAGAAAGGAGAGAGGTAAGGGAGGGAAGCAGAGATAGAGATAGATAGATAGATAGATAGATAGATAGATAGATAGATAGATAGATAGATAGATAGATAGATAGATAGATAGATAGGTAGATAGACAGACAGAGCAGGCAGGCAAATAGTGAAGAGATGGGGAGGGCAGGAGACAGACTAGAAATCTTATGAGGAGAAAGAGGATGAGGAAGCTAGTGTAGGGAGCTGGGAGGAGGTTGGGGTATTGACTAGAGCCTGGCTGGCGGGTTTTCTACGATCTGAACCTGAAGTGAAATACTGACAATGTCCTCTCTCTGTTTTTGCTACACTGAACCCTGTCTGTCCTCTCCCCTTGTTTGAACCTGCTTCCTGTGTCCTGGCCCTTTTGCTTCAACGCATGGTGCTGGGTGTCTCATTCCTCCTCATTCTACCTCACCACATCCTTGCCCCCTCCTGTGTACCTCCATTCTTCCCCAACAGGGTGATTCCGGGGGACCTGTGGTCTGCAATGGCCAGCTGCAGGGCCTTGTCTCCTGGGGTGATTTCCCCTGTGCCCAGCGGAACAGGCCAGGTGTCTACACCAACCTGTGTAAGTTCTCTAAGTGGATTGAGGACGTCATCAAGTGCAACTCATGAGCCACACCAGGACCCCTGGAGCCAGCCTCACCCCACTGCAATGAGGAGCACTGGCTCGCTTTGAGGATGCTGCCGATAGCTGCCAGTCTCTCCAGGCCAAGCTCCTGGCATCAAGATCCTCATCCCAAATAGTGGACTGGCTCTGTATCTACAGCCAGGTCCTAGGGACACTTCTGGAATGACAAGGGTTGGGTTGAAACTCATCATCCTCAGTGTATCCACCCACAAACCCAGAGTTGAGCCTTTTCTGCAGCCATAACCACATGTAGACCCGGAAATAAAAGACATGGGAAGAACCCCTTGGTATGTCTCCTGTGCCATGCAGCTGTGGGCAAGTGGCTATCTTAGATACTTTTCCCCTGTGTGCTAAGACACCATGACCAAGGCAACTTATAGAAGAAGGAGTTTGTGTGGAGCTTACAGTTCAAAGGGTTAGAGTCCATGACCATTATGGGGAGGAGCATGGCAGCAGGCAGGTAGGCTTGGTGCTGGAGCAGTAACTGGGAACTCACATCCTGAGACACAACCACAAGACACAGAGAAAGCTAACTGGGGGTAGCACGAGCATTTAAAACCTCAAAGCCCACCTCAGAGACACACCTTTCCCAACAAGGCCATACTTCCTAATCCTCCCCAAACATTTCTGCCAACGGAGGACCAAGCATTCAAATACACGAATCTGCGGGGACCGTTCTCAGTCAGCCACCACAGTGGTTTCTCCTCTGGCACAATGCACCTGCATGGGGTTCTTTGGTGACTTCACATTTTCTTCACAAATAGTAACTATCTCAGTTACTTTTCTGTCTGAGCACCTGACAAAGGCAACTTAAGGAGAAAGGGTTCATTCTGGCTCACAGTTCGAGGGTACAGCCTATCCTGGTGGGACAGCAGGAGCAGAAACTTGAGGTGGTTGGTCACACTGCATGGGGTCAGGAAGCAGACAGAGATGAGCATCAGTCCTTCACTGGTTTCCTCCCCTTTAGTCAGACCACGACCCGGCGTACGGCTGGTGCTGCCTGCAACCAGGGTGGGTCTTCCTACCTAGCTAACTCCCTTGCAGACATTCCCGGGGCTTATCTCCTAGGTGACTCTAGGCCTTATCAGGTTAATACTATCAGCTAACCTGTGTGACAGAAAATTTAGCAGTTCCCCAATGACAACTCTACCCTAATTTCTTGAATATGTGGCTTAGTCCTCAATGCACAGTGTTCACCTTGGGATTTTTTTTAACTGCTATAAGAACAATGTGCATTCAATCAAAACCACACCTCAAATGCTGGCTTTTGGTCTCTTCCCAAGCTAGTGACCTGCAGTCTGACATTATTACAGTTTGGATATTAAATGTCTTCTAAAAGGCTCATATGTCAAGGGGCTAATCTAGGCTGGCGGTGATCTTGGTTGCTGCAAGACTTTTGAGAGATAGATCCCAATGAAAGGACGTTAGGTCATTGTGGATGAGTCCTTGAAGAAAGAAGATACCAGGACCCTATCCTTTCCTCTCTCTTCACTTCCTGGCCACCACGATTTGAGCAGCCTCTTCTACCTCCTGTTCCTGCCATGATGAGCTAACTCACCACAGACCCAAAGGCAAGAGGACTTGAAAGCTCTAAAACCCAAAACCTAAGCAAACCTTTTCTCCTAAGGCGCTTATCTCAGTCAGGCATTTTGTCATGGAAAGCTCAGGAACATAAATGTTCTCCCTTAACAGTGGACAGAGGCAAGAAGCCAGGCTCCCTCAGCCTGGAGGCTACAAGAGAAGCAACTCACTATGTGTGATGTGCTGATGTCTGGGACAAGTGGGATGTTGTGAATGAATCTGTAGTTCAAACAGGTGTTTGTTTGTTTTTCTTGTTTTGAAAAAATAATATATTATTTTATGTGTATGGGTGTTTTGCCTGCATGTATGTGTGCAGTGCCCCCGGAGGCCGGAAAAGGCATCAGATCCCTTGCGATTGAAATTAAAGTTTGAGATGCCTTGTGGGTACTGGGGAAAGACCCAGATCTTTGGAACGGCAGCCACTAATCTTAACCTCTGAGCTAACTCCAGCCCCACCTTTTTGTTCCTTCAATTCTTTTAAACCTTGTGTGTGGGTGGGTGGGGGGACTTCTGTGTGGAGGCTAAAGAACAGCTTTTGAGAGTTCGTTTTCTCTTCCCGCCATGTGGGCTCCGGGATCAAACCCAAGTCTTCAGACTTGGTGAAGAAAGTCTACACCCATGGATTCATCTCACCAGGCCTGATTTCTTTAAATTTATTTTTTATTTATGTGTATCTGTCTGTGGAAATGTGCATATGAGTACATGACTCACAGAGGTCAAAAGAGAGTATCAGGCCCCCTGGAGCTGTACCTACAGGCTGTTGAGAGCCTCCCAGAGTGTGTGCAGGGAACTAAACTCAGGTCCTCAGCAAGAGCACCATGTGCTCCTGACAACTCGGCCACCTTGCTGGCCTCCAGATTTTTTTCTACAAAGGCTGTATAGCCATGCTAAACCAAGCATGCACAGCGGGGGTGCCATGGGTTTGATATGTTGGCATTTTGAGACAGGGTCTCTCTATTATGTAGCCCTGGCTGTTCTCGAACTCACAGAGATTTGCCTGTTTCTGCCTCCCAAGTGCTGGGATTAAGTTTGTGTCACCGGGGATCGCCCAATGACGGAGAAATGGATGAGATCTACATGAACAGCCTGGACATGAGTGGGGGTAATGAAGGGCAAGGGTCGAGGGAAAGAGAGCTTGGGGGAGCAGGAGATCCCAGCTGGATCAAGAACAGAGAGGGAGAACAAGGAATAGGAGACCATGGTAAATGAAGACCACATGAGAATAGGAAGAAGCAAAGTGCTAGAGAGGCCCACAGAAATCCACAAAGATACCCCCACACTGGCAATGGTCGAGAGACAGCCCGAACTGACCTACTCTGGTGATGGGATGGCCAAACACCCTAATTGTTGTGCTAGAAACCCCATCCAATGACTGAGGGATCTGGATGCAGAGATCCACAGCTAGGCCTCGGGTGGAGCTCCGGGAGTCCAATTAGCGAGAAAGAGGAGGGTTTATATGAGCAAGAATTGTTGAAACCAAGGTTGGATAAAGCACAGGGACAAATAGCCAAACAAATGGAAACACATGAACTATGAACCAATGGCTGAGGGGCCCCCAACTGGATCAGGCCCTCTGAATGGGTGAGACAGTTAATTGGCTTAATCTGTTTGGAAGGCAGTGGGACCAGGTCCTGAGCTCATTGCATGAGTTGGCTGTTTGAAACCTGGGTCTTATGCAGGGACACTTGGCTCAGTCTGGGAGGAGGGAACTGGACCTGCCTGGACTGAGTCTACCAGGTTGATCTCAGTCCTCGTGGGAGGCTTTGCCCTGGAGGAGGTAGGAATGGGGGGTGGGCTGGGGAGAAGGAGAGGGGCCAGGAGGGGGGAGAACAAGGAAGTCCGTGGCTGATATGTAGAACTGAATTGTGTTGTAAAATTAAATTAAATTAAATTAAATTAAATTTAAAAAAAAAGTTTGTGTCGCCATACCGGGCTCGATTGAGTTCTTTTGTTTTATTTTGTTTCTTTGAGACAGGGTTTCTCCATGTAGCCCTTGCTGTCCTGATACTCAATCTGTAGACCAGGCTGGCCCAGTCTACTCAGAGATCCACCTGCCTCTGCTGGGATAAAAGGTGTGCACCACCATTGCCTGGCTTTCAACTGGGTTCTTATTCCTAGAGTGAAAGGGGTGCTGTGCCTTGTTCTGAGTCTCCAGGGCTCGGCTACGTTCTCAAAAGGTTGGCTGGCTCAGCGTGGCACAACCAATTAACCAAGCACAACGTTTGAGAAGAGGGTGCGTCTTGAGCACGTGTTTTGATTTCAAGAAGTGCTGACCCTGGGGGAGTTCGAATTGCTGCCAAACAGCTTTTTTATTATATTTTTTTAATGAAGTTTTGCCTTATTTAATCCTTTGATGGAAAAGAGAGTGCATTTAGTTAAAATTTCACCACAGAGAGAACATGGAGACAGATGAATGCCTAGGGTTTGCTGCCCAGCTAGCCTAGTCTATTCAGTGAGACCTTGTTTCATAAAATGAGGTGGGCAGTTCCTGAGGAGTGACGCTTGGCATTGACCTCTGCCCTTCACACACACACATGTATTCCCACAAAGACAGTGGGTTCTTGAAATAATCACTGTGGAAACAGACCTGGGGAAGCCTGTGGCAGATTCTCCACCTCCCAAAGACATATTTCGTCTCCAACCTGCTTCTTGCAAGTGGCAGAGCTTAGATGAACCCCGACTCAGGATCAAAGTCAAGGATGAGCAGAGAACCCAAGACATACAGATGGAAGAAGAAGACAGGTCAATGCCTGTGACCTGTTCTGACTCCACTCTAGACAAACTGGACAAACTGAGTTAAGTTCACCCGATCCATCCTGCTCTCCTGGCCAAGCTCAGCTAGCACTTACATTAGTTAGCGAGTGACCTGCAAGCATGATGGACGGCGATCTAAGTGAGATGCTGGAGCCAAGGGCTGCTGAGGGCAGTCTCTGGGGAGTTGTTTACACAGTAGTCAGGAGCAAGTAAGGTTGGGAATCATGGCTCAGTGGAGAGCCCCGGCCTGGAATCCCCCGTGAGGGGCTGAGGGTGTGGTTTCCAGGTCACTTGTGGACATGAGCAATGTCTGGGCTTGGCCAGCAATGCAGTAGGGGGTGGCTGATAAGCTCATTTCGGCTGCACCCAGTTTATCTAAAGTGTGGAGTCAAACAAGTTCACAGAACACCAGCATCGCCTCCTTGTTCCAAGTGACAGAGCGCATGCCTAGGATGTGCAAGTTTAATCCCCTGCACTGAATTTAAACATTTTTGTTTCATTTTATTTATTTTATTTTATGTGTACAGGTGGGGAGGATGAGGAGGTATGTGCACGTCTTGACCTGTTCTATCAGAGAACAACTTGCCGGATTTGGTTTTTCTCCTTCTACCCAGTCTTGGGGGTTGAACTCTGGTTGTCAGGCTTAGAGGTGGTCACTTTCACCAGCTGAATCACCTTGCCCGCCTTGTCCCCTGTCCCCCGTCTACACCTGCCTCCCCCCGCAGCACTGACTTTTTTTTAAAGCAAAAAGAAGGGAAAGAAAGCTGCATGTAGTAATGTCACTTGTAATGCCCGTACTCGGGAGACTGAGGCAGGGAGGACCTGGAGATTGAGGCCAGCCTGGGCTACAGAGTGAGAACCGGTCTAGATAACAAAACTGCTGTGGGTGTAGCTCAGCTGGCAGAGTGCTCGCCATGAGGTGTAAAAGGGCGTGGTGGTGCATGCAG